GAAAGAAAGCAAAAAGCAGTGAATAAAAATTAAAAAAATATATATAAAACAACATTAAATTTTTTATCTTTTCTAAGTTATTTTTAAGTTATTGTTACATTATGTTATGTAAGTTAAGTTTTAGTATCATTTCCCTACTCCCTCTCTTCCGCCACCAGTTTACACCTCCACCGTTGTCTATCCTCAAAGGTAAAGTGCAAATAAAAGTACATTTTTTTAAATCAGTTATTATTCTATTATGGTTATTTACACATTTACAACTACAAAACGCATTTTTCAGTGTTTTCCTTTTTATAATTATTATTATTTTTAATGTATTACTTAGCTTTAATTTGAGTGTGTTTTTCGTGTTGGAACGAATTATTTGGTTTCACATGTAATCGTATGGGAAAAATGATTCACCTTACGACATTTTCATGATACGATCTCAGATTCGGAACGGATTAATTTCGTATCCTGAGGTACCACTGTATGCAGAAAACTATAATGAAAACATACAGGCAAATTCTTATCGGTTGGGTTAAGTTATACATCTACTCGTGATTCACGTAATCGGACGAGGGCGGCCAAATATCTAGCAGGAGGGCTGCTAACAGCCCGGAACCGATCCCGGATAGAATTGGATGCGTTATACGTGTAGCAGCCACCCGAGGTCCTAGGCTTCCTAGGGTGAGGTTGGTGCTCTGTAAAGCGCATGCGCAAATCTGGCTTTTTGGATGCTGACGATACAGTGTTTCCACTCCACTCAATGTTGCCACGTCTACCGAATTTTCGGTAGATCTACCGATTTTGGGACCGATCTACCGATTGAAGCACCAAATCTACCGAAAAGTTTACGATAATTCAAGAAAGAAATTTTTATTTTCAATGTATCTAAAAATTCTCAATAAAACATTTATTTATACCTTCATTTCTTATATATTGTAAGAGACTTTATTGCAAAGATTCTGTCTCGTTTTGTTGAGAATATCTTGTGTCTGCCCCATTCTTCAGCTAATGGAATAGAAAGAATATTTTCGTAAATAAATCTGTTAAACACGAAACACGGAAATAAACTGACTTGTGAGCTCTGAAACAATCACTGGCTTACTTCTTACTAAACAATTAATTGGATAAAAATTACTGTTACGATTTTCCTGTAAAAGATAATTTAATTTCAAAAATAAGAAACAGTGTTAAAAACATACAAACGGAAGATATTGAATAATAATAATTATTATTAATATCCGAAAAATAAAAGGTAATACTGTATTTTGTTAGAAAAATAAGACAAAATGTACCTACTTAATTAGTAAATTATTATTTTTTTACGTAAGTGTTCTGTGTTAGTTTTTGTTTTTTTATTGTTTTATAGTGTATAATAAAATAAATGACGAAAAAGAATGTTATTGTTTATGTGCAACCTCCTTTCTGCCACAAAAAGTCGATTTACCGAAAAATTACCGAAATCTACCGAAAATTGCCTAATGAATCTACCGATGGCAAGCAAATCGGCGTGGCAACGCTGACTCCACTACTTCGCCACTAATATTCGAATATACAATAGCAATCTTATCTTTTTTTTTCACGTGTAGTATAGAAATTTGTAATAAGATACATAATGCAGTTATAATAAAATAATTTTAATTATATGAAAATAATCGCACAATAATATGTATTTATTTTTTAGAAAATACAAGGGAAGCGGTGCATCCACCGCTTCTAATGACGGTACGCCACTGGAAAAAGCCCTTGTTAGTGTATATTCTCGTGAGGTACCCTATTAATACGCAATCAAAAACACAAAAAACCTCATCTGCGCCTATAAATTTTGCACGTCTCTTTCTCTTAACATTTCCATTGTTGACACTTCCATTCTTAACACTTCCATGATTGAAGCCCATCTCCCCCCATTATTATGTTTCTTTCCCCCCGGGGGAATTTCGAAAAATCCCTTCTTAGTGTACGTTCTCGTGATGTACCCTAACTGTGTACCAATTTGCAATTTTCAACTCTTAACCGGTTGGGCTCTGCGCTGATTATTGTTATCAACCCGTCTCGATTACGTATATAGTTTTTCTTTTTTACTCTTTCCGCCCTGTGGGCACTAAGAGGGCCTCTTATAGCAGGCCCATTATTGGTTCGGCCAGACCCACAATGGGGCGGCTGGGTGGTGAGGGACGGGGCCCGACGTATCCGAACGGACCACCCCCGAAAAATTCTTGGAGTTTCCTTGACCCGTCCGGATTCGATCACGGGTCCCCCAGAGCGCTCGGCCATCCGGTCGTCTTATATATAGATTAGAAACTAGTAGATGTTCCCGGCAAAAAATAACGATAGCGAAGATAAGATTACCGTGAGATACAAATTTAGCGCTTGTGTACCTTCGTAAACAATCCTTCAACCATTTACTATAAACCAAATACTTTTCCCACTAATAATATTCAATCCTACATTACAGGCATAGATTTAATCAGACGACACATTTAATACTTTTCAATTTATCAAAAGATTCGGATTCCGTATGGAGTCGTCGGCATTTATCGGCAAGGAATTTCGATCAATTTTTCCTCCATTGGCAATTTATGGTTATTATCAGTTTTATCGGTTTTATCTTGTAAAAATATTTAATAATAAACATCAATTATTGAGATTGTGAAGAGAATTATCAAAACGTAAATATTTGGATGTTTTTAGGTGACGCTAGTTGACGCGTATGCATTGGCGAAGTGGCAACCAATCGAAGATTGTTATGGATGAAATTGAGTGAGTGTTAATGTATTTACAATATGTATATTTATTGCAATTATTAATTGAAATATCGAAAAGACCAGCACGGTTATTCAATAATATAATTTTTTTCTTTTTTAAGCAGCAAATATATATTCGTTTGCAAACTTCTATTAGCAATGTAATTCAATGGGGTCTCAGTTACAATCATGATCAATGTTATATTGCAATGTCATTCATTGCTATTAAATGATTTTAAATGAATTCAAGTCATAATAAACACTAATTTGCCTACAAAACATTTGCAGTAAAATAATAATTTTGTTATAAACTTTTTTTATATTTCATTATAGACAATTAAATGGACTTTTTTATTTTCACATATGTTTAGATTTATCATCCATTTTAATATTGTATTTAAGTGTGTGTGGTAGATTTTATAATAAATTAGAATTGTAATAGACATAATTTGGTTGTTGTTGCACTTACGGCAACTTTCTAGAGTTGTGGATTAAGGACGTGTGATTAAAAAACACAAAAGAATTGCAAGTTTGATGTGTACCAATCGGGAACTGTTAATTTTGATTCCTAATCTGAAAAGTTAAATTCGGTTGCGCTAAAATTGTTTAATGTTTCTGCTGTTATTACTGGGCATCTTCGATTAATTCCTCTCTTCTTGTTAAGTCTGTATTTAAAACTTAAATCTGTAAAGTATAAATTTTTTATAGTTTTCGAGTGAATATTTCTATAGCAAAATCTTGAATTTGTTGAATGAAAGCTTTACAATAGTGTTTTTGTTAGTTTTTGTACTGAATCTTTTAATATGATAATTGCAATGCAATGATAAATACAGGAAAAAAATGAGGAAAGAAAAAAAATTCCTTAGCTAATGACTTGGTATACAATGGAAGTGTTTGCCTTAACAGTCAGTTCAGAACTTGATATCTGAAAAATACAAATTTAATTCATGGTTTTCTTGAGTTTTGGATTTTTTTCAATTGTATAAGTCTTCTGCTTATACAAGTGATTTCTATTTAGCAAAATTTGAATTATATTAAATAATAGCATGCAACGACAAAATAATAGTTACACATTCTGTAAAGTATCTATAGGTCTTCTATGGATTTAAAAATTTGTTTAATAAAATTCTGCACATGGAATTTCTGCATAATTCTGCACAATTCTGCACATAGTAAGCTAGAACTTCTGTATATAAGTTTCAAAACCCTTTTCTCTCTTTTTTCTAGCAAATTCTTTAATTAAATAAAATAAACTAACATTTTTGGCTATCTTAAATGATCCTTTTTCCAGGTTTTGCTTAACCTGAAGGACTTTTAAGATAGCCGAAAACGTTAGTTTATTTGATTTAATTAAAGAATTTGCTAGAAAAAAGAGAGAAAGGTGTTTTGAAACTTGTTTAATGCAAGTTTTTTTTTTTGTTTGTATTATTATATTTGTAATGCATAACTAAATAAATTATTTTAATTTAAGAAGTTTGTTTCTTGAATTAAGATTATTCATTAAGTTCTAAGTTAGTAAAGAAAGTAATACATGAAGTATTTAAATAAATATATTTCTTTAAAACTTACTGACAAATAATTTTATTTCAACACTTTTCTATATTTTTTAAGAATTAATATATTATAATTGTGGTTTATGCTTTTCAGTTTAATATCGTAGTCTGTAAATTATTTATACATATTATTTATAACTTAACCTATAATAAAAATAAAAATAGTAATGATAAAGTAAACTAAATCTTTTGGCCTTGATATAATTGCAGTAGTAATAAATTTTCAAGCTTATTTTTCATTTTTCAATTTTGTATCTTCTCTATACATTTTGCATTAAATTCCTTCATTAATTATAAATATATCAGATTGTTCCATTGTTTATTTTAATATAAAAGTAGTAGTTTATATACTAGTAGTTAATATAATATTAATAGCTTGATCTTCAGCAGTTTAATCATCTATTTATAAAGGCCTATTTAGATGTTTGTTAAAATCTTATTTTGGAATTTCAAAAATGAAATTATTTGTCACAAATGTCACAAATATTTTGATTTTTATCTTCAAATTTTATAAGTCATTAAATATTAATAAATCTAATAACACATCTTGAACTCCAGCAGAATATACGTACTAATAACTGAAATGTTTTTGACTATGTTGAACAGTCATTGACAGGTTATCTAATTTGAATCACAGAAAATTAAAAATGGGACTAGAAGTTCAAATCTTATGGAATGCCTGATACAATTAACTGTTGGAAAGTGATGCATGTATGCATCATCAATAATGGTATGCAGGTTATTTATAAAGCTAATAAAAATGTAATTAATATTAATAAATGTAAAAGTTTTAAAGATAGAATTGGAATAGTTAAATTAATATAGTCCAAATTTGAGGCCAATTTCCAATTTAATTTGAGATATTGTTACGTATCAGTCTAATTTAATAGTATTTTTGAGGTAGTCGAAATTTTTCAAATGTATTAAAATTTCTGTCTGGAGCAAGAATTGAATTATAACTCTTGTCGAACGTATAAATAAATTGCAAATTACACTGTATTCCAAGCATATAATTCAAAGATGTGAGATGTGATTATTTTTGTCTAGTATATAACAATATATTACTTATCATTTGCTGATTGGAATGCACGTTACTGATCCTCCAAACAGCATTCAATTGACTAAAATTGATATTGAAAATATATCAGTAAAATATTCTTACTACTAGGATAATTAATCATTAAAAATTATTCTACATGTTCTTAGATTATAGTTGGGCTAATATTGTATTCTAATCAAAAATTTATATATTTAAATAGGTTTTGTAGGTGTTATTTACTATATATTTATATCTGAATTGACTAATGCTTAACAACTAGATGGAATAACTGGCATAGATCATACATTTATATAGTTGGAAGTTAAAGCAGATCAGTATCCTGTTTGAAGTGCACATTTTTTTTTAAGGCATAGATTT